TGATAAAATATTATTTTGTCAAATAATTTTTCCATTAAAGGAAAGTTTCATGGCTAGCTCATTCTCCCTTCCTCATAAGAAACAAGATCAATATGTTGAAATTAATGTTTAAGACAACATGCATGGATGTATGTCTCAGTAGCCAGCTGCACAGTTCAGATGCTGATCTTCCACTGATGGGAAATCAGAGGTGCCTGCATGCGTGTGTGTGTGTGTGCACTTTTCTGCATAGACTTAGCAAAATCAACAACACTAAAGATGTTTTCTCATATCAGAAATTGGACCTAAGTGCAGGTTTGTTACCATCAGGTAGCTGTGACAGCACCATGCCTGCTTCCATCAATGTGGCTTCTCATGCAGTGGAAGTCTTCACAGAAATGAGTCTTTTTCTTCTCTTTCTGAGAAGGACTTAATGTCCTCCTTCCTTTCTGGAACAGGGCACTTTTACAAGCTTGCTGACATAGCAGTGTCATGAAGGCAGTGATGTGACAAGATTTGAGAGCCCTTTAGCTGTTCCTGCAGGAGTCTCTACAGGGGAGAATTACTCCAGCAGAAGTAGTCTTGTCAGGAGCACTTATCCTGCTCAGAGAGCACCAGAGGAGGCTATCATGGGAGAAGTGAATTTTGCCAAAGTATTGGTGTCTGCACACTGTTGGAACAGTGCAAAGTACAGGACATTTTCTCAACTAAGTCTTTGAGGTACAGCTTCTCCTAGAGTTATTTCGTCTGTCTCTTTTAGAAGCACAAAACATCCTTTTGTAGAAAGTTCAGTACAGAATGTGTCTGAAAAAAGAGGGTCAGCATCTTTACAGGTATCTAAGTCTTCCTGTATTTCTCTTTACTAATTACTATTTTCTTGATTTTTTTTTCACTGCAGTTGAAACTCTTTGTCCTATTTAGTTTGGTTCACACCTATCATGAACCTCAATTATTATCTATTGTCTATTGCACTGGAAATTAATCATTTCTCCAATGAGTGTCTAAACTGAACTGACAGAAAAAAAGAAATAAACTACATTAGGAGTACAGACACCACATCACAAAAAGCTGTCATTGTAGGCTAAACTGGAACTTGTTTTTTGTTGATATTTATATTTCTAACATCACAATGACTCATTGTTGCCCCCTCTTTCTACATACTTCCTCTTTGTGGGAAGGGCAGGAGCAGTGAACTGCACACATTCAGAAAAGAAATGAGACCTATCTGAAAAGAGAGATATTTTTCAGAAAAAAGACCCAATTGCATGATCTAAAATTAACTGTGAAATCTCTATGTCTGTCCCAGTCTCCCTACTCACAAACTATTTGGGGCACCCCGGGCTTCATTCTTGAGGGATTAGGAGTGATGAACGATTTCTCATACTTTTTCATGGCACCAGTTGCACCAGGAAATGAAGTTTTAATTAATGTAACCTGTGAATGTCAGGACATCCAGAATTAAAACACAAAATGCCAAACCATGTGTCACCAGGCAGAGGGAGATGAGAGTGGATAATGACCCATGAGAAACACTTACAGCAGCTGGTAGCACTGGAGCAGTTTGCAGCAGAAAAGATGAAATTACCTAATATATACCAGGAATATATATATATATATATATATATATATATATATATAGGATATATATATATATATTCCTGGTATATATACCAGGAATAGGCAGTTGATGCCTTCTTCCTCTTGTTTGATTTCAGTATAATCTTTTTACTGTTAGATTGAGATTAATACTTGCTTGATGTTATTCACTGTTTGCTGTTGGAGAATTCTGCTTTAGGAGAACTTCCTGTTGGACCTCAGGCCTTCTTATCAAACTGGCTATTGATAGGAAATACAGCTGCTCACTTTTCTCCATTTATACCCAGTACTTCAAGAAATAATGACAAGTGATTATATTATACTGTTGATGTGATTTCCCTTATTAGTTGTGTTTTGTTTTTTTTTAATATATCCACACAATATAACCTGAACACACAGGTGAATTTTAGAGTGCTTTGCAGCACCAGACTTCATAACAGAAATTTTGCTGCCATAACAAAATCTAAAGATTTGTTTTCCATGGAGGTGTGCAGTGCTTAGAAAAATTTCGCTGACTCTACTTGGAATTAAATTTCCTCCAGCTTCTAATAAAGTAGATCTGCTACAGAGAAGTTCAAAATTAATATGAATATTCACCAAAAAGCCCCAGAATTCTTGCTTAAGCAATAGGTAAAAAAAGCCAAAACACAATATTTGGAGAAAAATTGAAGCTTAAGGAATCTACTTGGTCAGTTCAGCTGAATATTAAGAAAGATTATACTAATTTATAGAAGTCAATGGATCATGGGACAGAGGCAAATCAGTATCATACCGATTTCAAAATAGGATCCTGAAATTTTTACTGAGAATGCTGCCTTCATTGCTGGGCTGGTGAAGTTAGGATTTGTCATGCATTTCTATCAATAGTGCCACTGCAGACATGTCAAACAATTGATTGAAACACTTTTTAGTACCTTTAAAACATTTTATTTTCCCAACTAAGAATGATCTGATTTCCACTTGATTAACTATAATCTCAATTGCTACTTGAAACAGTGCTTTCGAGAAATGTCACCCAGCCTGTAAAATAAAAATCACTAAACTTAATCAGCATTCTCTCCTATCATAAAATCACCAGCATTTTTTTCTGCAGTTGTGTCTTTTTATTTCTTCATCACAAGAAGCAATTTTGTACTTTCAAGTAGTCTCCAAGTGTCAGCTGCTGCTTTTATTTCCTCTTTTATATGATTTCACAATTTCATTTGCTTCCCAATCTGCAATGTAATTTCTTGCTCCTTCACTGTTGGGCTCTTTGGGTCACATTGGTGCTCTAATTGCTCACTAAGTCATTTAATCATAATTCACCATGATTCCCTGGAATGCCTATTGAATGCCTTTGTAAAGCCTTTGCTAGTGGGTAGCAGGACAAACCCAGCAACAAAATCCAGTCAGCTAAAGAAACAGCTGGAGGAGTTCAGGCTCTGGCCATGATGCCAGAGGCAGGATCCCGAGAGGAACCTGTGGGAAGCAGCCCAAAGACATAAAACTGCCTCTGGGAGCGTGAGCCTTTCTCTTTCCAGGGCATTTGCTTTATGCTGTAGGAGAGGCCTGCCAGTCCCAAAATGCTGTTAACCCTGTGCCAGGGGCTCCCCACCTTTCCATCCCTGCCCAGCATACAGCTGCTTCCATTTTCAAGGAAAAGGCTATGACAGGGACATGGCAGGCCCTCACTTCCCTCCCCACAACTTCTTTGGGCAGATCTCACCAGCTGCTGAGATTTCCCTTGTCCATTGTTTTTTTGTGTCTGTCCACAGGGTGGAGGTCATGACTTGCATATAAGCCAGCCTGCACTGAAAATAAGCATTAAAAACTACAATTATAGTAGTTATGATCAAGCCATGGAACAGAAAGGGAGGGTGGAAAGCAAGAGGAAATATTTGAGTGCCAAGGGCAACAACAGGAAAAAGTTCTTGTCGTGAAGAACATTTTGTCTGTGGTTTGTCACTTGTCATGTTGCTTTCCACACCACAGATCTGCAGTCCAGCTCTCCCTAGCACAGAAATTCAATGAGGAGGCTGGAGCCTCCGGTAGGGCCACTTGGTGTTTGATTGTGGATGCAGGCAGAAGTGCAGTGCAGACTCTGGAGAGCCCAGGCTTGGAGCTGTTGTTAGTGGGGCTGGAGGGGTGAGAGTAAGGGCTGACATTCCACAGTGTGGCAGGGCCAGTGTTAGAGAGGAATCTGTGCTGGCAGCAGGTTGCCAGTGAAGAGAGGAGAGGCGCAGTTCGGCACTGTTGGACACATGGTCTTTTCACATTGCTCTTTTCTTGTCTTTGAAGTACAAGTGTGTCATACTGACTATACTTTCCTTTGTTTCTCAGAGCCTATGTGTTTATTTCATACTTGGCATCTCATAGTTACAAAGAGAAATAAAAAATCCTGTGATTTTTTTCTTCTGTCTACAAAAATGTTTTTGCTTAGTTGGTCAGTTATGTAGTCCTTTAATAATCTTAATATAACACCAGCAAAGATTTGTTATGAGTGTTACTCCAATTTGCTCAGTGATGTTCTGGACATCTTGCTATTCTTTAATAATATCTTATTAAAGCAAGATTATCTTATCAACAGCTTTAACCAAAATAAAATTACTATTTTCAGGCTTTAGCATGGGAAGTATATGAGAGTAGACTGAAGCACCCTGGTCCAAGAAAACCCATTACAGGGAATCAGACCAGAGGAGACTTTTGATAAGATCCACATGCAGACTTGAGCTATGGAGTGGGACACAGAGAAATAGAAAAATTTCAGCAATGCTGATTTTAAAAGGGTTTGATAATGACTGACAGACAGCAAAGTCAGATGCAGGGCATCTTTAACTCCTTCTGGGATACTCATGATGATCCTGTCAGGGGCTGTCACCTGGGGTGTGCTCCCAGCCTGGGCTTCCACAGCCAGGCTACAGTGGGTGCTGAGTGCTGGGTGATGTGCCACCTGCACTACCACCAGGAGTCAAGTTAGCCTCAGAGAAATTTCACCTTGTGTTCCAAAGATTTGGTGCAGATGGATCTCTGGAAGGCAAGAGGCCCCCCTGGGACAGAGCCATGGTGCAGGAAACCATCAGACAGAAGAAAGCAGCTGCAATAACCCCAAAGCCTGGAAGCAATCCAAAGCACAAAGAGAGAAAGAGTGAACCTAGCAACCAGACCAAAATTCAGGCCTCCTCTAAACTCTCTTTTCATGTCCATGTGTTTTGTTCTGCTTTTTGTTTCATTCTAATTCTGGAGGAAATGCTGGCATGTGTTCCTTCCCCTTACAGCTCAGACTTTGTCAAGCACAAGTGGGTGACATCTGGGGAGAATGTATTTTTTCTCAAAGCTGAGTTGTACCACAAGGATTTGCCACCAGTTCATCCATCTTGCACGTGATGAAAGTCCTAACATGGTACCTACAGATTTATTTTTTCCAACTGTTCTTTTTTGTCTTCCAGGGTTTGGTATGACCACCCCAGCCACCGTTGGAGGCAAAATTTTTCTGATATTTTACGGCCTTATAGGATGTGCAGGGACCATTTTGTTCTTTAACCTGTTCCTGGAGCGCTTGATCACTGTCATAGCTTACGTCATGAAGTCCTGCCACGAGAGACAGCTGAGGAGGAAAGGGGTTCTCCCTCACAACGGCCGCCGGGGCTCGGGGAGCTCCGAGGTGGACAGCCTGGCGGGCTGGAAGCCCTCTGTGTACTATGTAATGCTGATTCTATGTGTAGCATCCCTCATCATTTCCTGCTGTGCCTCTGCAATGTACACACCGATTGAAGGGTGGAGTTACTTTGATTCACTTTACTTCTGCTTTGTGGCCTTCAGCACCATTGGTTTTGGTGATCTGGTCAGTAGCCAGAACGTCAGGTATGAGAGCCAAGGCCTTTACCGCTTTGGCAACTTTGTCTTCATACTCATGGGGGTGTGCTGCATCTACTCCTTATTTAATGTGATCTCTATTGTCATCAAGCAGTCCATAAACTGGATATTAAAGAAATTGGCCTGCAAGTGCTGCCACAGGTGCCAAAGAAGATTATTTCGTTCACGGAGGAACGTGGTGATGCCGGGAAATGTGCGCAGCCGGAGGAACATCTCCATTGAGACCGACGGTGTCAATGAGAGCGACACGGACGGACGCCGTCTGTCAGGGGAGATGATCTCCATGAAAGACTTCCTGGCCTCCAATAAAGTCTCACTGGCCATCATGCAGAAACAGCTGTCAGAAACTGCTAATGGGTATCCAAGGCAAATAAGCTCTAACTCAAAACAAAATGGATTCTCTGGTGGGGTAGGAGCCCTAGCAATTATGAATAACAGACTGGCAGAGACAAGTGTGGATAGGTAAAATAATGACAGTAATAGCAGTGAAACAGTGTGAACCATTTCAACAGGTATTGAAACAACATGAATCAAGTGAAATAGCTAGGGAGAGAGCACCACCTGAGGGTGGGATCATGTGAAGAGCATACCTCCTGATGGAAGACCTCTTGACTTTTTTGGGGGCTGTCATCTAATGTTTTTGCATTGTACCAGTCCCAACTCCTCAAGCAGGTTACTGCAGGAGGATTTTAATTTAGCCTTCAGATAAAATTTCTATGTTCTGTTGTTCTCCATTATGTGACATACAGATTTCAGGATAAGAAATCTGTGGAATGAGAAGAAACCAAGTGTGTCTACGGAACACATTCTTAATAGAGATTGTTTAGAGCTCTCTGTCTTACTCTCATCATGCCTGTTTCCTGGAAGTGACTTATCTGAGACCAAAAGATGAATCAGCCTTTGTGATATTGCAGATCTAATTTAATGGAAAATAGTATGAAAGTTGGTAGGTATATTCTGGAGCTATTGTAGTGTGAATGGGGAGAGAATTTTGCCTTTAAAATTTATTTAGTCTTTCCTATAATAGGATACTGTCAAAAGTGATAGAATAAAAACTTATCCTACTTTTGTTTTCTTCATTTTCAAAACATGGTTCTTTTCCAAGGATACTTTTTCTTCTAGAGTTGAATCACTGTGGCTTTCTGCTTCAAAAATGTCAAATTAAATTGAAAATTGACATACTGATGAGTGGTATGAATTATTCCACAATAGCAATCAAGGACTTTCCAAATTTCTGTTCATATTTGCCTCAATTGTGACTGAAGCATCAGCATCTGTAATGCAACTAGTAACTGAGTTTACACAACAGGCTTTAGTATGCAATTAGATTGCTATGCCAGCATCCAGAGTGTTATCATAAATGACTGCGATCACAGAATCACTTTGGCAGTGTCCTTTTTCTCTTTCGTGTAACTCTGTCATTCTTCATCTGTTTCCCTGGCTTTCAGTGATAATAATGACAGTGTCTTGATTAGGGAAATAGAAAATGTTTTAATTCCTTGTTTTTCTCAATGAAATGCTCTGAGTGCTCATTATGACTAGAAAGGAAATTTCAATGAGAAGAATAATAACAGTGAGAAGATCATGAAAAGAGGAAAAGAAGTGATCTTAAATGACAATGAAATCATCCTTTGTATTAGGTAGCTAGAGAAATAAGGAATTAAATTAACATAAATTCTAGCAAGAATTTAAGGAAGACTGGGCTGAATTCCTGGCTCTCCTTTAAACTTGCAACACATTAAAGCTAAACAGTATACAAGAGTGTAAATAAGCAGAACTGGTCACAAAGGACCCCATCTCCTGGAAAGAGTAGTATATGCATCAGGACTAAATGTTTTCTCACAGCTGAAAAGTCTTTCAGAATACTGCAATATTAGGAAATTTAGAACATCATTATGTGGTTCTCTTATATGGAACAGTGCAGATAGCCTTTTCAGTCTCATTTGTGTTAGGAGTTGATTATTTTTCTTTATTCTGGTCTAAAGTTCTTTCACTTAGGTTTTTAATATTATAGAATAACATTTTTATACTCATTTTATCAATATCTGAACTTGAAAACAAAAGCTTGGAATCCTTTAATATAATAAGCTAACCCAAGATATTCAACAAATGTACCTAACTAGTGAAAAAATTGCAAGCTCTTTTGATGTTATTAGGGGTAAAAATCCTGATTTAAGTCAAATCCTGCTGTTCTTAATTACAAGGAAATCTTCAAATTGAAATCCAAATTCTGATATCTGTCAACTAATCTGTGCAGCAACGGAATAGTTTTAGCAGTATCCCTTCACATTTGCAGCCATGTAAAATCTGAATCAGCTTCCAAACCTAAGTTTTGTGAGAAGTGCAGTTTTGTTTGGTTTTTTGGGGAGGGGGGTATGTTTTAGCAAAAATTGCTACTGAGCTATTTAAGATGAAATTATAATACCCAAGATCCATTACACTGTTACACTTTCTTTTTTTTTTTTTTAATCTCAAGGCCTTCTTTGTCTTAATCTCACTGAATAAAAATACTTGGCTATAAAAACAGAGAAGTACTGCTCTGTAGCCTTCTTTCCAAATTCATTCAGAAACACCTCTGTTCACTGCCTGTAAGCCTAAGATCTCATTGTTTTTGATGTATTTCTCTGCCAGCTAGCAGAAATAGTATAGGATTTAACCCATTGCTTCAGCAGTCATTAAGAGGGTCTTCAGATGGTTTCAAGACATGAGACAGTTGTATTGCTCTGTTCCATTCTTTCTGGTAACCAGTGCTGGTTTCTCATCACCACAGAGCAATCTTTGTCAGCTATTTTCAATAAGTCTGAACACATCTATGGTTATAAAAGCAAGGGACTAATAAATAGTCTTTATCCAAGAGACTTGACAAGGCTGTGAGGGATCTTTGGTGTACACTAGCTCTGTTTTCATTGATCAGCCCTGACCTTCTGCTCACTCAAGCACTGCCTTCCTCATGGCCCAAGCCTGCCAGGTGCAAGATCTCTGCACTGGTTTTGTGGTTGGATTTCATGTCCACTGAAGGTAGTGAGGGAATAGCTGCACTAATCATCTCTATACAGATGTCAATTGCCAGAGATGAGGGACCAGCATATTCTGTCCCTGTGTCATCTTGTACCATGACATCATCCTGTCCCTAAGAGACCTCTCACTTTGTCATTGAGTTCCCCTTACAGCAGCCACACTCAACATTGAATGAGGTAACTTTGCCAAGGAGACTGTAGAATTCTTAAAGAATATCTCTGGATAAACAAGACTTTTAAGATCAGAGAGAGAAATTTCTGGCTACAGTCCCATGGTATTACAGTTGTTTTAGTAAAGGCCTTGAAGAGAGAAATCTCCAAAAGCTCTGATTATAATGAGCTATAATATTATAGTTTAATATCAAGATATTAATTTTAATAAAGATATTAAAGATAATAAAACACGTGGAGATATAGATGTACACATACCAAAAGAAGAGCAGAGTTTAACACAGGAGTGACAAATGCCCACCCTCTATGAAAAGTAAATTACAATAAAAATACAGATAACATCATATTTCTTGCATTACTTTTAAAAGTAGCAATGAAGAATTAAAGGAAATAGTCAGGAATCTATTTTTAAAGCTGTGCAAATTTTAAATCCAGATTGCTTAACACTAAAATCTCAGTCAACAAGACAGAAACCTGTTTTCAAAAGTACTGAGTTTCTCTATTGCCTGCCATGAATTTTCATGGTGGCTATTGAGATATAGGGATGAGGTTTTTAAGGGAAAAATGCTTAGAGGGAAACCTTGGATGCATTGAGATTTTGCATCTGCACTTTAAAAGGTCAGGAGTACTGCTAAAATCAGTGGGTTAAACTGCAGGTTGCAGCCAGGCTGAAACTGAAAGTCCTTAATGGAGTAATCTGCTGAAATATAACCTTATCATTATGCCACAACTTAGTAATATCATTATTGAACACTATAATTATTTTACATTGAAAGGAAATATTTAGTGCTAACCAAAATACAATCAAATCAAAGTAAAGGTAGCTCTAAGGGTTTTCTGTCTTGTTTAGGTTTTATAAAATGTGTGCATCAGGCACTTTGCTGGCAGGTGGGTGTGAAAGCAGTTACATTCATTTATCTCTATGAAGGACATGGGCTGCTTTTTGCAAGGACATGAATAGACTCTTCAAAGGCATTTAATTCTTGCTGGAAGTCAATTAACTTCCCACCACACACCGACTTTCAGTAGAAGTCAGGTACCTGATTCCCTTAGGCAGTTTCAGAATCCCAGCCATGTATTAGGTTTTGAATCTAAGATGACCTGACCATGTCCCTGAAAAGTTCAAACTGTTGGAGCAAAGTTTCAGTGCTGCAGCACTCTAATAGCTGAATTAATTTATCTAAAAGCATTTTATGGTGAAAGCTTTGCATCAACCAAATAACACAAACAATGTTTAAATTTTGTTTGATTTAATCTTGGCCTCTGTCAGTTTAAATTATATTTGACACATTTACAAATTGAAGAGCAAAGAGAAAGTTGGGCTAGGTATAAAAAAAATAAAGCAGCTACATTTCTCTGACTGAATTGATCAAGAGAAAGAGGTTAGGTTGGGAAAAGAGTTTCTTGATTAATATTATATTTGAATAAACTTTATCTGGAGGTGGAGGATATTAAGTTGTTTGGATGACTCCTCTCCAACAGCTGTGGAAGTAGAACTCTTTGTGTGACCCCCTGATATCCCTACTCTGGGAACAGAAGCTGAGTGAGCCTTAGCTTAGACAAGGGTCAGCATTTCCAAGCAATACAGCTGGAATCTTCTGTTGTTTTAATTTAGGCTACTAACACTGGGCTAAGGCAGCACTTTCTTAGATCCTTGAAGAAATAGTACAGTTATTTTATCTAATTTCATGTACAAGCTGTGGAGAATCAACAAGTGTTTTCTTTCCCCTGGGCAGAAAATACTGCCAAATACACAAGTACAATGTGTCTGTTTGAGAATGTTCACAGTATTTTTTGCTTAATCCAGGAAATAAGAATATAATCCCTTCCCTACTCCTTATTTTCCAAACATCTATGGGCATTGGCAACAATATCTACTCAATACTCTGCTTATTACTTGAAAGGTCACATTTCACTAGGAAAATGAAAGCCATTGTTCATCAAGGTGGACCAACATAGTCTTATTTTTTATTAGATTTAAGAGAAGTTGTGACCACAAAGAAGGACTCTTCATATCCAAGTAGTCGGAAGCTTTTTGATATAGCCTGTTAGAGCTGTTTTATGTCAAACCACACAAAACCCACATGACTGCAAACTTATAAGAGCATAAGTAAGTCTAAGAACAACCTTATAGAAAAAACACACTATGTTATATTTTGATTTTTTCAGTTTCATTCTAATATATGTCTTCAGTTTTCATTATTTTTAATTATTTGTGATAATAGAATAAATATAAATTTGCAAAGATTTTGAGAGGCACAATAGTGAGATATGTTTTAAATGAAATATTATTCTCCACAGGCTGTCTAGCTTTCTATAAAGGGGAAGTTTGATGAAAGGCAGAATCAACTCTTTCCAGGCAAGGGTGCAATTTCTGGACTCAAATGGATTTCCTATTAGGTACATACAGAAGCTCCCAGAGGGGCAAGATGGCTTTGTTTTCACAAATGTTATCTTTCAAAATGCTTTTCACAGCTATTCCCCCTTGTAAAGCCATAGAACACTGTCAGTGTTTTCTGTTTGTCTTATCTTAGAAAATGTAACCTTGCTTTTTCCATATCTTTAGAAGAAAAAGATTCACATGAAGAAAAATAAAAATGACCTTACATAAACTTTACATGTATTGCTTGGAGCTGCAGAAATCCTTCTCTTTATCCTAACTCAAGTTTACATCAGAGTAATTTCTCCAGCTCACCAAAGAGGTTTGGTCTTATTAGTCAGTAGTCACAGCTCGAGTGAAAGAACTTTTATTTGTTCACCTGTTAAATGAGGCAATGAGCTGATGGTCTGAGCAGTGGGTGCTGTTCTAGGTTTGTTAGCATGCAAAAGGCTGGAATCACCATTGTTCTCATTTCTGCAATGGTCAGGGAGACACTGAGTAGTGTCCAGAAGAGTCCTTACTGCTGCAGTAGCAGCAATTGCTGGCCATTAACCTCTGGGTGTTCTGCTGTCTGCACTTAGTGCCCAGGGCCAGAACTAGACAGAGAAAATGCTGTCCAAAACCACCATTTCAGAGATGCACAGAATAATTTGCTATGGAAGATGCCTCTGGATGCCATCCTGTCACCCTTTTCCAAAGCAGGCCTAGCTAGTTCCTGCCCATCTGTAATTTCTGCGTGATGCTTCTTCAGCACTCTGTTCACAGTGTCCTGACTGAGCAACACCCCTACCAAGAGAAAGTGACAGACCTTCCTCTGCACCATTACATTTGGGCAAATACTAGCTCTAAGTTAAACAAATTTCTTTGTAAATAGCATCCAGACTGCTGCTTTTCTCAGCCTCATAAGCAGCAGATGGGTGTTTTGATCCCTAGGTATCATTATTGTTGGCAGTCTTATTTGAGATGGCAGGGCCTGGAAAGGTCAGTCTGTCTGCAATAGGCTCCCAGGCAGGATCCTATTGGCAAGCAATTCATGGCACTTTGGCTCTACACATTGGATTTGGCTGGATTCAAGAATAGATTCTGCTCTGCTGAAACCAATGGAGACTTTGCTACTGGATTCTTTATCTGGCATTTTGCACAAGAATTAATTTCACTTTACAAAATGATCCAAAGAAATGTGACTAGCCTTTGTTTTTACCAACAGCTGTACAAATACCGGTTCTACTCATGCAGTGTTGTGTTCTGCAATAAGTTATTGCACAGGAACCATTTTTTGGTCTAAGAAATAATCCTCTACTTCTTAAGAAGACCAATTTAAAATTGAAAGTACCCAGATTATTATCTCTAAGAATTGTTTGGTAGTCATTCATTTCATCAGCTGAAAAAACTCTAACAAATAACCCATTTTCCATGAAAATTCCTGCAGTTTTGCAAGGGTAAAGAAAGGAAGAGTTGCTCTGTGCTGACTGCTTGTGTCATCTTGTTCTTTCCCTCAGCTTTCTGTTCTCAGTCCTCACCTGCAAGACCTTTCTCCCTCTTTTTTTTTTTGTTCTTTCCATTTACTTTTTTTCTTAGTTCACCAAATTCTTCTCTTAGCCAAATATACCATGGTACATGTACCGCACAAAGCAAGTCAGGAGGAAAAGCAAGTGAGGCACAGAGAGTTCTGAATGCCCCATCAGCTGAGAAGGTGTCAAACAGAGCTTACACCTCCTCAGATTGCAGCATTGATGCAAAGGGTAAACAACAAGTGTTGTGATATTTTAGCATCTCTAAAAAAAAGATCCCTTTAATCTGCCAGGATTTAACTTTGTTCACGGTTCTATCCTTGCCTTTCACTCTTTTACCGGCTTTGGATTCCT